CGCGACTGTTTGGAAAGGCTGCACCTACAGGACCGGGTACGGCACCTTAGTAGACCTGTAGCATCTACTTTGGCGAACAAGGAGCGCATGATTGTAACAGACTACATCAAGGACGTAGTCTGTACCTTCTCCTATGGAGGAGGTGAGCTTAACCATAAGATCTCGTTCTTGGTTAGCGACGACTTGCCATTTGAAATGTTGTTAGGCATGTACTACCTCGAAGTTGCTAAGCCCCAGTTCGACTGCGATAAGAAGGTGCTCAAGCATAAGTTGCCCGATGGCCGAACTGTCAGGTTGACTAAGTTCAAGGCCAGCAGTATTGTAGATACCTATGGCTGCTTGTGTGCATCAACATTCTATAATTACGACAAGCAAAACCAAGAGGAGGGTATGTACCTTGTTTATGTCTCTGAGAAGGGGGAGGCCGTTAAAACACCCCCAAAGATAGAACGCGTCGTTGCTAAGTTCCCTGATCTGTTCGAGGAGCCCACAAGAGTTGTTGAAAGGAAGTCGTCCACGCTATAGAAATCATTCCAGGGAGTAAGACCCCAAAGGTAAGGATCTATAGGATGGCCCCCGCCCAGTTAGATGAACTTCGGAAACAGCTTAAGGACCTGACAGAGAAGGGTTGGATTCGGCCTAGTACTTCCCCTTACGGATCACCCGTGCTATTCGTACCAAAGAAGGGGGGTACTTTGAGGATGTGCATTGACTATAGAGGCCTCAATGCCATCACCGTGAAGAACGCAGAGCCTCTACCTCGCATAGACGACCTATTGGATAGGGTGCAGGGATGCAAGTACTATAGTAAGATAGATTTGAAATCCGGATATCACCAGATCACAATAAGACCTGAGGACCAACACAAGACAACTTTTCAGACGCGTTATGGTCTGTATGAGTTTGTAGTGATGCCCTTTGGTCTTTGCAATGCGCCGGGTACATTCCAGCACGCTATGAATCAGATCTTCCATGACCATTTAGATAAGTTTGTCGTGGTCTACCTAGACGACATTCTGATCTTTAGTAAGTCTGCCGAGGAGCATGCACAACATGTTGAGACGGTACTTTCACTCCTTCGACAGCACAAGTATAAGGTCAACTTAGAGAAGTGTGAATTGGATCGCACTAAGATTCTATACTTGGGTCATGAAGTATCCGCGGAAGGGATTAGGCCAGAGGATGCGAAGGTGGCTAGTATTCGAGACTGGCCACGACCTCAGACTGTCACTGAGGTCAGATCATTCTTAGGAATGTGCGGCTACTATAGGAACTTCGTAAAGAACTATTCTACAGTCGCCTCTCCTTTGACAGATCTAACTCGAGTTGACACACCGTGGGACTAGAGTGATGAGTGCGAGGGTGCTTTCAAGAGATTGAAGCATGCACTCATGAATCATGAGGTCCTCATGGTTCCCGATCCGCAGAAGCCATTCATAGTGACCACTGACGCAAGCCAATACGGCATTGGCGCAGTACTGGCTCAACAGGCTGGGAAAAAGTTGAGACCGATTGAGTACATGAGTAAGAAGATGCCATCGAAGAAGATGCCATCGAAGAAGTTGGCTAAGTCCACCTACGAAAGGGAACTCTATGCTCTCTACAAGGCACTTGTCCATTGCAGACACTTTCTTTTGGGAAAATTCTTCTATCTGAGGACTGATCATCAGACCCTCAAATGAATCAATACTCAACCGGCTCTTTCTGATGCACTTAAGCAATGCATTGAGGTCATAGACCAATATGACTTCAAGCTTGAGTACCTGAAGGGAGAGTACAACAAGGTTGCAGATGCGCTATCCCGTAGAGTAGACTACCTAGGTGCGCTAGTTTCTGACTTTGGCGTATCTAATGAAGTAACTCAATCATTGGTGGGAGCCTATCAGGAAGACCCTGTCACGATGGACATCATCAGCAAACTTCAGGCAAAAGACAAGGCTACAGAAAGTGAGTTTGTGATGGTTGACGGGCTACTCTATCTTGATAAGGCCGGAATAAAGAGATTGGTAGTTCCATCTAGTGAACAGTTGCGTAGTTTATTTTAAGGAGAATGCCATGACGCAACGGGTCACTTTGGCTACAAGAAAACGAGTGCTAATCTAGTACAACGATTTTGGTGGCCTGGTATGCTTGATGACGCAAAGAAGTACGTAGAGACCTGTCAGGTCTGTCAGCGGGACAAGCCGCGAACTCAAGCACCGCTTGGGTTGCTTAAGCCCTTACCTATTCCCGCTGGTCCAGGACAGAGTGTTTCCATGGATTTCATGGACACCCTGGTAACTAGCAAGAGTGGTAAAAGGCACATCTTCGTCATCATAAACCGATTCACCAAGTACGCTAGACTAGTTGCCATGCCAGAAAGTGCGAGGACTGACCATGTCATCAAGTTGTTTAAGGACAACTGGGTGCGGGACTTTGGTTTACCAAAGACTATCGTTAGTGATAGAGATGTCCGATTCACAAGTGAGCTATGGAAGAAGACTGCAGAACAAATGGGCAGTCAGCTTCAAATGACTTCAGGGAATCATCCCGAAGCCAACGGACAAGCCGAACAGATGAATAGAGTTGTGCAGCACTTGCTGAGGCATTACATCAAGCCCATCCAAGATGACTGGGATGAGAAGTTGCCACTCATCGCCAGTCTGTACAACAATGCTGTGCACAGCAGCACCGGCGTGAGTCCTAACCAGCTACGCTTGGGATGGAAGCCTAGATCCGCGTTAGACTTCCTCCTACCTGAAAACCGACCTGCTGCAACCCCAGGCACATTGGAGTATGGTGTGCATTATGAGAAGTTGTTGCAAGAAGCTGTTGAGCACATGAAGAAAGCTCAGCAAGCAATGATTGCTTCTGAGAATCAACATCGTAGATAGTCCACATTTCAGGTAGGGGAACGTGTCTGGGTCAAGGCTAGTGAGCTAGGGCAGGAATTCGGAATCTCTCGCAAACTAATGCCTCAATACTTTGGTCCCTGGGAAGTCTTAGATATAGTGGGAGATGAGATGGATGGACCCACTTATGTCATTCGTGTCCCTGGACACCTACGCACCCACCCAGTCTTTCATGCCTCAAAGCTTGCACCTTTCGCTGAGACTGATCAATTCCCTTCCAGGAGATCGATGCTGCCCCCAACCATGGATGGACAAGTCGACATCGATGGCATTGTGGATCACAAGGACATGCCTGTTGCAAAGCCGTCGGGTCGAGGAAGACCTCCTAAACCGAAGAGAGAATATCGTGTCAGATTCAGGCATCACACGGATCCCAACGAAGATCGGTGGTTTACCAGGGAGGAACTGATTGAGACAGCTCCTCAGGT